GGCACGACACACTGAGGACTACGCTTGCGGCTCTTGGGTTTGCTCCCTCTACTGCTGACCCGTCTTTGTTTCTGCGCACCGACTTGGTCTTTGCCACTGCTGACACTGCTGGACTCGCCTACGTGAAGTCCGAGCTGCAGAAGAGACACACGTGCACAGACCTGGGTGAACTGCGTAGCTACCTTGGCTTGCAGATCACTCGGGACAGAGCACGCCGCACCATTACCTTGACTCAGTCACACATGGTGCAGCAGGTCCTTCAGCGCTTCGGCTTCACGTACTCCTCGCCTCAGGCCACTCCTCTGTCTACTCGCCACTCGCTCTCAGCTCTGCCTTCGGATGAGTCCGTAGAGTCGAGTGGCCCGTACCCAGAGCTTGTTGGCTGCCTGATGTACCTGATGACCTGCACACGACCTGACCTTGCATACCCTCTTAGCATCTTGGCACGCTATGTTGCTCCTGGGAGACACCGACCAGAGCACATGGCTGCAGCGAAGAGGGTGTTGCGCTACTTGTGCAGTACGTCGGGCATGGGGCTAGTGCTTGGAGGGCGGAGTCTAGTGGTCCTCACTGGGCACGCGGACGCTTCTTGGGCTGACGATTAGGCTACTCAGCGGTCGTCGCAGGGTTACACCTTCAGTCTTGGTTCCGGCTCTGTTTAGTGGCGGGCTACTCGCTCGTCTTCTGTTCTCGGCTCCAGTTGTGAGGCTGAGATCTACGCCGGGGCCATGGCTGCTCAGGAGCTTCGCAGGCTCACCTACCTGCTGACTGACCTTGGAGAGCCGCCTCGTTCTCCTCCAGTGCTGTACGTAGACAACAAGGCCATGCTGGCCTTGTGTCGAGAGCAGCGCCTGGAGCACAGAACGAAGCACATTGCTCTCCGCTACTTTCTTGCTTGTGAGCTGCAACAGCGTCGTCAGTTGCGACTTGCGTACGTGGCCTCTGAGGCCAACACTGCTGATGTTTTCACCAAGGCACTTCCGCCTTGTCTTCATCAGCGCTTCTGCACTCAGCCGGGACTTGTCCCAGTCTTGCCTCACTTGCTCACCTCTTGACCTTACTTGTACTCTTGTATATATATATATATATACCTACTCTTGCTTGTTTAGACTTATATATATATATGTCTCCTCCTGCATGTGAACTGGCCTTGTGGCCTTGACCTTGTGCTCAGACTGTGTGGTGACGTTGTGATCCACCCTGAGCTTGCTTTGCTTTACTTTGCTTCACTGGTCTTGTGACCCCTTGTTCTCCCCCACTTTGCCTATGGGGGTGTGTCGGAACATTATAGCTTATGCTTTTGTGTAGGCTATAGTGGGGTATCCCATAGGGGGTACAACCCAATTAGGGTTAGTACTTGTACTCACTTCATTCATAGTTCATTCATTCGCGTTCACTTCTTCACAGCCGAAGCGCTGAAGGACCTGCTGCACCATGTGTGACTGAGTCAGGGTAATGGTGCAGCGTGCTCTATCCCGGGTGATCTGCAAGCCAAGGTAGCTGCGCAGTTTCCCCAGGTCAGTGCACGTGTGTCTCTTCTGCAGTTCCGACTTCACGTGGGCGAGAGACTCAGTGTCAGCTGTGGCAAAGACCAAGTCGTCGACGTACACGAGGATGTAGAACGGCGGCAGCGAAGTGTCGGTGCGTAGAAACAGCGACGGGTCAGCAGTCGAAGGAGAGAACCCAAGTGCCGCAAGAGTAGTCCTCAGTGTGTCGTGCCACTCACGTGGCACCTGGCGAAGACCGTAGACCGGCCGACGGAGGCTCCACTAGGTACCAAGAGGGAACGACCTAGTGAAGCCAGGAGGGCGGCGCAGCCATATCTCCTCGTGCAGACTGCCCTGCAAGAAAGCTGTGCTGAAGTCAAGAGAGTGAAGCTCGTAGTCACGCTGAGCAGCAACGTGCAGTAGTATTCGAAGAGTGGTCATCTGCAGTAGTACCCAAGTCGACAAGCTCAGCAACTAGGCCAAACGCAGCAGCAGACTCAAAGGAAGAGTTAGTGACAGCAGTGGCCAGGAGACGCGTGACAGTAGGACTGGCAGCACGAAGAGAGTCAGACTCAGGGTCAGCAAGAGCAGGAAGAGAGGACTCAGAACGAGACGGCAGAGGGACACGCTGTGAAGCAATGGAGGGACGCAGTGACATCCGGTGTGTGCCAGGGACTGGTGGCGGATGCTCACGTGGAGTACTACAAGTGGTGGAAGTAGTACGAACAGGGGACTCAGGACGGGACACAGGCGACACAGGGCGAGACTCAGGCTGACGACGCTCTGTGAGACCGCCTGTAGGACCAGTGTTGGGAGAAGGACAAGGAAGTGGCGAGGCAGGCGGAAGGTGTGACTGCGACTGGACCGGCGGTGGACACTCTACAGAGGGAGGGGGACAAGGTGGAGGTGACTGACTAAGAACCTGCTGAAGGAGTGGAACAAAGTACGGCCGCGGCCATGAGGTGCCCCCTTCAGCAGCAGAGACAGCACCAAAACCTCCAGCAGCTCCAGCAGCACCCCCAGCACCTCCAACGCCCGGGTCTGCAGCACCAGTAGCAGCTCCAACGCCCGGGTCCGCAGCACCAGTAGTAGCTCCAAAGCCCTTGTCCGCAGCACCAGCAGCAGCTCCAACGCCCGGGTCCGCAGCACAAGCAGCAGCTCCAACGCCCGGGTCTGCAGCACTAGCAGCAGCTCCAACGCCCGGGTCCGCAGCACCAGTAGCAGGGTCCGCGACACTAGGAGCGCCACTCCTGAGACTGCAGCGCCGTGCGTACCACTCACGAAGACGCTGGGGAGAGGGCAGCTCCCGCCCAGGCGAGGAAGCACGAGTACCAGCTCCAGCAGCACCCCTAGCTCCAGAAGCACCTCTCTTGAGGCTGCAGTTCTATAAGTACCTCTCACAAAGCTGCTGTAAGGAGAGAGCTCCTCCAGGCGTAGCACTCCCAGGCTCAGCACCCCCAGACTCAACACCCCCAGACTCAGCACAAGCAGGCTCCGTACTCCCAGGCTCAGCACCCCCAGACTCCGCACCCCCAGGCTCAGTACCCCCAGACTCTGCACCCCCCGGCTCAGCACCCCCAGTCTCCGCAACCCTAGGCTCCGCACGCTCAGGCTCAGCACCCCGAGCAGGACGAGAGTCGACAGCTACCTCGACAGGCTCAACCGGGTCTACCTGGGACACAGCTGAGGGAGTGGCACCCTGAGGGGGGAGGGGGTCTACTACAGCAGCACCTGGCGCGAGGAAGAGAGGCGGGGGAGGGAAAGGGGCAGTGCGGTAGGGGAAGAGGCGGTAGAAGGGTACCGACTCGTCAAAGGTGACGTCCTGAGAGGCGAGGACACGGCGCGAGGTAGGGTGGTAAAACTGCCAACCAGACGCGTCCGGAACAAAGCCTAGGAAGACACACCGAACAGCGCGGGAGGAGAGCTTGTCTGCGGACGTATCGCGAACAAAAGCTCGGGATCCCCAGACCCGAAAACGCGACGCATCGCCAACCTCTCCCGTCCAACGCAGTGTCAGGGAGGTGTCCGGCAAGGAGACACGGGGCCAGAGGTTGAGCTGATGCGCACCGTATCGGACCGCAAACGGCCACAGAAAGTGGGGGGCAGCCGCATGGATCAAGGAGGTACGAGTGACCTCCATGACCAAGCCAATGCGGCGCTCAGCAACCCCATTCTGTTGTGGAGAGGCTGGAAGCGTGAACGACTGGTGGATGCCGTGCTCCGCACAGTAGGCTGCCAAGAGGTTAGAAGAGAACTCACCACCTCTGTCAGAGTGAATGCGCAGGACAGGAAAGTCCGAGTGGAAACGCTCGCTGAGCTGAAGACGGGAAGCGCGGATCCAAGGGATCAAAACATCAGGGACCTCACCCTTGGTGCGCAAGGGGAAGACCGTGGTGTAGCGCGAGTAGTCGTCAATAACTATCAGGAAGTACCTTTCCTGACCCTGACCACAGATGCGGGCGGGGCCCCACACGTCCATGTGGAGCGTCTGCAAGGGAGCAGTCGTCGGGGGAAACGAGGAGGAGTGAGGAGCAGCGCGCTGCCGCCCCTCGACACAGGGAAGGCAGGGAGGAGCAGGCGAGGCTGGGAGGTGAGGGAGAACCCTGGGAAGACCAGAGACAAGGTACCGTTTGTGCATTGCCCGAAGGCGCTGCACCGACGAGTGACCAAGTCGGTGGTGCCAGAGGACTGTCTTGTGCGCCAGAGCGCAGCACGAGCAGGGGGCCGAGAGCTGACCTGACGCAGACGCAGACGCAGCTACCTGCGGGGACTCAGTAGTCAGTGTGTACAGGTCCGACCCTGGCTGCCGTGTGAAGGTCGCCAGGTGACGGCTCGTCCGAGCACACGTGCAGTGTGTCATGCGCTCGTAGGCAGGGGTGAACTGGTGGACACCCGTGTCCTGGAGCGCACTACCCGCCACCAAGTTTGTAGAGAACGAGGGGAGGTAGAGACCGGACAGTGTGCCCGACGGGACGGCCGGACAGGGGAGGACAGTGGAGGAGGTCACACGGACTAGACCCCCAGAGGGGTCAGCGAGAGAGACTGCAACGGGCCGAGCAGGCTGCACAAGAGCCGTGGCGGTCACGAAAGAAACAGCGGGAGGCACCTGAGTTTAGTGTAAAGGTGTGCAGTGCCTCAGTCGACTCAGTAACAGGGGGCGCAGACGCACCAGCACCTAGAGCAGCAGCCTCACCAGCACCTGGGGTAGCAGACAGTCTAGCACCTAGAGCGGTAGCCTCACCGGGTCGAATGCCCGGGTCGGGCGGAACACGCAGGTACTGGGCACCCTCTCCACTAATAGACATCACATACATGGCAGGGAGAATAGGATCAAAGTCTAGAGCAAAGATATCAATGTTTTTCTTCATCAGATCAGCCCAGCGGGGCAGCGCAATGGCGTCAGGGAACTGAGTACGGCAAGCATTGTCGAGGCGTGAGAAGCAGCGCTGCGTGGGGTGCGCCCTCCCACACGTCTGACCAGTGCGGTCACCAGTGCGGATGACGTACGTGCAGCTAAGGCCACCACCCCCCCCCCCCCGTGCTGAGCGTACCACTCACGGAGCTCCTGGGGCGACGGAGAGTGCTGTAGGCTCTGGTCACCGCCAGTGCCTCCACGACCACCATTGCCGCCACCACCTCCTCGACCGCCTCCTCCCCTGCCGCCGCCGCGTCCACTGCCGCCCCCACCACCGCCCCCGCCCCTGCCACCGCCCCCGCTGTTGCCGCCACCACCCCCACCGCTGCCTCTAGCCCCACCAGTCCCACCACCACCCCCACCGTCGCCACCACCCCCACCACCGCCTCCCCCGCCGTCACCTTAGCCTCCCTTGCCCCCTTTACCCTTGCCGCTGCGGCGCCCGCTCGAGGCAGACGCAGCCCCGACCTTCTCAGAACCAAGGAGGTTGACAGCAGAAGCAGAGGCTATAGAGGGAAGAAGGGGGGAAGGGGAACACCCCTCAAAGAAAGGGGTGCGGGAGTCGCCACGAGAGGCACCTACAGCGACTATGCTAGCCTCAGCTGCAAGCAGTTCCTTCTTGAGGAGGGCAATGGTGAGCTCAGTGGGGCAGCGAGCTAGGAAGTGATCCATGACAGCACGCAGAGTGTCAAGGAGGCGGGTGACTAGGTGGTAGAGAGTGAGCTAGAGCAGGGGAGGGTTCTTGGCAAGAAACTCATCGGGCATGGCGGCACGGAAGCGGGCCTCACTAGTACGGAGGTGCGTGATGAGGTCAGCGACAGTGTGGAACGAGGCCAGGTCGGGAAGCAGGTAGGGAAGTGAGAGACGGCCTAGCGCGGCAGAGGCAGGTGAGGAGTAGCCGGCAACGACAGCGGTGTACAGTGCCTGTGCAGTCTTGTGCTGGCCAAAGTGCTCGCGCTCGTCTATCGGCAGGGAGTTGCGAATAGCGAAGCGAGAGGGGGCGTCACGAGTCTGCCACTGTGAGCGGGCAGTGCTGTCATCAGTAGCAGCAGGAGCAGTAGCATGGCCTAGGGCGTGATCGTACAGTGAGATGTCCTCCTTGGCAGTGAGCTGTAGGAAGAGGTGTAGGTCATCTAGCCAGGTATCGAACTTCACTGGGCGGCCCTCAGCATCGAAAGCTAGCACAGGAGGGCTAGCCATAGCAGCAGTAGAGTAGCAGTAGTTGCACCCTAAAAACAGTAGGCAGGGAGACTCAGGTAGGGCGGCTCGATCCAGTACGGGCGGCGCGGCTCGGTTCAGGTAGGGCGGCTCGGCTCGGGTAGGGCGGCTCGGCTGGGTTCGGGCGGCGCGGCTCGGTTCAGGCTGAGCGGCTCGGTTCGGGCGGCTCGGTTCGGGCTGGGCGGCTCATGGGTGTCGCAGCGGGGTGCTAAGGGGAGGCGCGCGGGTCGAGAGGGGGCCGACGGGGCCGCTAAGGGGCAAACGGGGCCGACGGGGCCTCTAAGAGGGGGTCGCGCGTGGGGTCGACGGGGCCAGCGGGGCCGCGAAGGGGCGGCTCGTGGGGTCGACGGGGCCGGCTGGGGCCTCTAAGGGGGGCGACGCGCGGGGTCGACGGGGCCAGCGGGGCCGCTAAGGGGCGGCACGTGGGGTTGACGGGGCCGACGGGGCCATTAAAGAATGGGCGCGCGGGGAAAACGGGGCCGACGGGGCCTCTAAGCGAGGCCAGCGGGGCCTCTAAAGGGCGGCGCGCGGGGTGGACGGGGCCTCTAAGGGGCGGCGCGCGGGTCGCAAGAGGGGGGCGGGTCGCGGGTCGCGGGGCCTTAGGGGGGCGGGTCGCGGGTCGCGGGGCCTTAGGGGGCCGTGAAAACGAGGCGCACGAGGGCGCTAGGGGGGAGGCGCTCGAGGGCGCTCCGACAGTAGGGCGCACGAGGGCGCTAGTAGGTAGCAGTAGTGGTGGGCCTTAGGAATCGGTCCTAGCGGAGGACCTGCTCTGATTCCATGTTATGAAGAAGAAGTGATTGCACTATGAAAGTTGGAGTACAAGTAGGAAACCCTAACTTTGTGTACCCCCTAAAGGCTAACCCACTATAGCCTACACAATAATAACACATATAGTGTTTGACACCAACACTAGGCATCATCGTTGCCAAGACCCCCTAACACACCTCACGCAAGGCGCACGCGTGCTGTCGCCCACCCCCAGCGTCCGCCGCCACCTCGCGGTACACCTCGCGCTGCACCTCCTCCACGTTACGTCGAGGTATGTCGCTCCAATTGCTCCCTCTTACTGGACCCTTCATCGTGCCCTTGTGCGTGCGCTCCCACATTTCGGTTGAATAGTGGTGCGGCATCCCACGCTCCTTCACATTGTCCAGCAAATGTCTTATCATGTGTATCTTTGGGAGCTTCCAGTGGGATGCCTGCGATGGGAATGCCTTCGGTAGCAACGCCACCAACCTGCACCGGCACCCCGACAAGGCACAATACTGGATGCATCACCGTATTTGGCGACCTCAAAATTGCTGTGCAATCTTGAGGCATAGCCTCCCATAAATCTTGTTGACCCAACGGCGTGGGGTATACAAGTACTCACACTATCGCATGATGCCGGGCAATCGCAATTGTCGTGTGTGTGTGCTTGTCAACCCCCAGAAACGCCTTGTAGAACATGGCATACAGCCGGAACGCCTTGACCTGCAAAGCACGCAGCTCTCCCTCCGGTCCGTCCTTCAATGCACTCTCGTCTGCCACCAGTATCGGCATTATCTGCATCATGCTCCTGTGCTCGAACGCCGCGTAGTTTGCGCCAGAACTGAAGAACGATGATCCCCCAGGGATACGGAGGAGAACGCTTGGAGTGAAACGCTTGAACTCCTTCTTGCGGCTGCGCACATACATAGTACGATGTCGTCATCCGCTGACACACATGGGGGCCTAGACCCCACCTAAACCCTTGCAGAATATAGTTGGCTACCACTCTCACACCCGACTACACCTAACTCACCTTTCAAGCAGCCGCATCTCAACCTTTCCAAGGGGTTCGATGTAGGAGTCCATCATGTGGATCAGCACACCGGAGTCCAGCACGTGCAGTGTGTCTGCTAGGCATGCCAGGTACACGTTTCCCCACTTTGTGTCTGCAAAATTCCACCTTTGAAGCATGCACTGCAACCATCCAACCGACGACACAGTGTTGTCAAATAGTCCACATGATATCCAGCCCCCATTCAGTACGCACCACCAAACCGCGCACCAGCTAACACACCTCGATCGGATGGGTTGACCATAACTTCCGCACATCGTCTGCCTCGCCCTTCTTCTTGCACGCCAAGATCTGACGAACAATGTCCCTCTGCTGATCGGAGGTCAGTGGATCACACTTCCCCACCATCATGGTCAACTCCCCCTTCACAGCATAGCAGTTAGCGCATGGCCGATGCGATCCTTGCTGCACAGTTGCGGAGGCTCTGCTGGATTCCGGGAAGTCGGCAGGGTATCCGTACAGGCAAGGGACCGCCTTGTGCACCTTCCCGTCCGCGTCTGTGCAGTAAAAGAAGCGTACTGGCGCGCTGCATAATGCCGCAATGCACACATAGTGTTCACTTAGTGATGGATCGTATGCATATCTCCCAATAGGGTGGCTACTAACTGGGGTGGCCCCCCTTCCCCACCCGTGTATCGTTATCATCCCCACCCCCATCCCCTCCCAGTACCTGGCGGACTCTCGCATGATGGGCGCGAGTATTATCTTCAGCGCCTCCTGGAACACGCGCGTCTTCTCCGTAGGCGACGCCCATTCAGGCGGGAATGGAAGCACCGCCGCCAATGTGTGCCCGGGCTCCACTCCTCGCAATTCTTCGGGTATGTTGACAAGTGAGATCAGCACAGGCCACGCGTTCCTTCGTCCATTCCGTGATGCCTGCGTGCTATCGCTGTATATCAGCACGCCTAGTACGAGTGCCTGGTCGTCATTAATCTCCTTCTGCCATGTAGAGCGCACGGGCCGGTGAGCGTTGTGACACCTCGTGCAAGTACCAGTGTGCACGACATATGACAACTGAACAACAAACATGTGCGTACCTGAGCAGAGTGCATCCAATCACCTGTCTCCGGTCCTTCAAATACCCTCTCGTTGTTCTTCTTCCGATAAATCTTCCTCGGCTTCCATACAAACCCCTTTTTGGATGAGAACGTTCGCACCAGCTTCTTCAAAATCTGTGTGCGTAGCGCAGAAACATGGGTGAGAACATGCTGCGGGCCAACTTCATCTACACGTCACCCCGACATCGCCTCCAGGTTGGCCTCCCATCACGTACCAACTCGGTGTCGCGGAAGTGCAGTAGCAGCTCTTTGGGACCCCTCACCACTATCTCCTCCGTTTTCCACGGGACCATGTCGGCTGGAGCTCGCGCCATGCCCCAGCGGCGCACATCCACCCAGTTGCGCCATCATCTGAGAGCCACAAGGTTGAAGCGAGGGTTGCGGAAAATGTGTAGAAGACGGTTAACTTCCCGGTGCGACAGATCGGCGTCACGGAAAAACTAGGTACAACTCTGTCAGTGTATAAAAAATCTCCGTCCTATCGCTGCCTTCTGTAGACTCGGCGTTAGCGCCGTCGGATGGTGTATCCGCGTCGCCAACCACACTAACTTCGGGTATCGACACCGTTGGAGCAACGGAGAGAAAGCTGCCATCGTTGTTTTTAAGCCTGGATGCCGGTGGGGTATTTGGTCTACTCTCTCCTTCGCACGCAACGGCTTCCAAATATGCCGCCCACAAAAGTTGTTCACGCTTCCTCTTCAACTCCTCGCGACAAACAGCCCCATTCGCTACATGGGACTGTAACCTGCCGTCGTCCTTAAACACCGTCTTGCACAGCAGGCAGCTGTTCCCCGCCATCCTACAGCCGTGAAACCCTAGGAATTGCTGCTAGTGAAAACCCTGCCCAGCACATCTGGTGCACTCTTGTACAACAGAGTTGGGCTGGTTCGAGCACACGCATATGCAGGAAGCTGTGTGGTGTGCGCACAGAACATAGCCGTACTCGTTGCAGTGAAAGGTACAATTATATTATGTGTGTATGTGTTGTATGTGATTCGGCATATACAATTGTCCCACCACCCCACCAATGATTGTAACTTGTTTATCGCAAGTGCCTTGGTGAAAACATTAGCAGTGTTGGCCTCAGAGGCCACGTACGCAAGTCGCAACTGACCACGCTGCTGCAGTTCACGAGCAAGAAAGTAGCGGAGAGCAATGTGCTTCGTTCTGTGCTCCAGGCGCTGCTCTCGACACAAGGCCAGCATCGGCCTTGTTGTCTACGTACAGCACTGGAGGAGAACGAGGCGGCTCTCCTAGGTCAGTCAGCAGGTAGGTGAGCTAGCGAAGCTCCAGAGAAGCCATTGCCCCGGCGTAGATCTCAGCCTCACAACTGGAGCCGAGAACAGAAGACGAGCGAGTAGCCCGCCACGAAACAGAGCCGGAACCAAGACTGAAGGTGTAACCCTGCGACGACCGCTGCGTAGCCTGGTCGTCAGCCCAAGAAGCGTCCGCGTGCCCAGTGAGGACCACTGGACTCCGCCCTCCAAGCACTAGCCCCATGCCCGACGTACTGCACAAGTAGCGCAACACCCTCTTCGCTGCAGCCATGTGCTATGGTCGGTGTCTCCCAGGAGCAACATAGCGTGCCAAGATGCTAAGAGGGTATGCAAGGTCAGGTCGTGTGCAGGTCATCAGGTACATGAGGCAGCCAACAAGCTCTGGGTACGGGCCACTCGACTCTACGGACTCATCCGAAGGCAGAGTTGAGAGCGAGTGGCGAGTAGACAAAGGAGTGGCCTAAGGCAAGGAGTACGTGAAGCCGAAGCGCTGAAGGACCTGCTGCACCATGTGTGACTGAGTCAGGGTAATGGTGCGGCGTGCTCTGTCCCGAGTGATCTGCAAGCCAAGATAGCTGCGCAGTTCACCCAGGTCTGTGCACGTGTGTCTCTTCTGCAGCTTGGACTTCACGTAGGCGAGTCCAGCAGTGTCCGCTGTGGCAAAGACCAAGTCGTCGACGTACACGAGGATGTAGAACGACGGCAGAGAAGTGTCGGTGCGCAGAAACAACGACGGGTCAGCAGTAGAGGGAGCAAACCCAAGAGCCGCAAGCGTAGTCCTCAGTGTGTCGTGCCACTCACGCTGTGCTTGGCGGAGACCGTAGA